AGGGCAACTTGCTGTTTGCAGCGTTGAATCTGGTTTCACTTTTGCCAACAATGAAGAAAACAAGCTAGTGGCCATAATATGGTAGCGTGTGTCACAACTTACCCGATCTGAAAGTTTAGCTCTACAGAATGAAGAACTGACCCTGTTATTTCTTTTTGAACATTAGAACTACACAAAATTTTTTATAGCTGCTAAAAGAAATATGCCCTCATTCAGAAACCTATCAAATCCAGTGCGGAATACAGAGCTTAGTAATTTGAATATTCAGAATATTGCCTTATATTGTTTTTGGAATTATGTCAATATAAAATAATTTTTTTTAAAAAAGGAAATCAGGGTCCATCTATCCAAAAAGGCCTTTTTATTTTATTTTATTTTGGACTTGGTTGCTATGGAACGTTAATGGTATGTGTGTGTTTTTTATTTTTTTTCTGTGTTAAATGATATAAATTTAAAACAGTTTAAATATTAAAAATACTATATTTACTTTTTAAAAAGCAGAAATTAAACCCTGTTAAGTAGTAACAGTAATCTCTTTAAGCACAGGGAGAAACAACCATTAGAAGAAATTCAAAGAAGATCAACCTGCTTATTGTATCAGCCACAAAGATTGAATGTTAAAAGGAAAAAGAATGTGAGATAAGTTTCCAAAAGAGAGCAAAGCTGTAATACTAAAGCATTAGTGGTGTGCACAGTATGGGCAACGTACTTTCACATTTTGATGTAACTACTGAAGCAGAAGTGACCTGGATCTACTTGCTAACAATGAGTATCTTCAGGTGACATATATAGTAAACAAGAGGAAAGTTCTCAGCTTCAAATATACATTAAACTATTTTCAAGGTAGACTGTTTAAAGTGGGTCACTGTGGCAATAAACGAATAGAGGTAGAATTTCAAAACACATTTGTTTAATTGAATTCCCACTTTGTCCTCACAATCTTATAACTGGACGCATGGGGTCTATATCTAATTTTCTGCTGGGTATCTGATAGGGGGCTTGTCTTGTGTAAGCAGTAGTGAAACCAGCAGGGCAGAGAGAGATGATGACGTGGGTAGGGAGAGGGAAGTGGTTATTTTAAAAGAAATGAAAATGTGGGGAGAAACATGAAAACACTCTCCTGACACAAGAGATATTAAAAGAGAAATTAAAAAATACGGTATTGCTTTCCATTTCCCCTTGCCCTTACCTGATGCTGCCAGCCACCTCAGTGGTTCAGCTTCATAGGCAGCAGTAACTGGCGTGGAAGAGGTATGCCTGTCAGCTGCTTGCAATGCAGCGTCTTGAAAAGGTCACGGCAGTAGCAGTATGACAGGCCATGTAAGTCATTATGGACCTTATAACTCATTTGTAAGTAGAATGGGAAATAGAGCAAATTAATGTAAACTCGGCCTTAACACCTTTGAAAATATGTGTTGCATTTTAAACCAGGTTTTATTCTGTAACTAGAAAGACAGATAGGTGCTTTCTCAAAGATGCATTATATTCTTGATGAGCAGCAGCAACTCATTTGCTGTGATGGGATTTAAAGAAAAGGTATTGGAAGACAAAGGAAGATGGTTTGGGGAGGATTTGTAATGATACATGTATATAACCTAATATATATTATATCACATTCATTATATATTGCATACATTATATAATATATTATATATGGATATGTAATATATATTATAAACATAGTAATATATAATCCTTAAATTTTGGTCTATGCCATTTAAACATTTTATTTATTTATTTTTAAAAATTAATTTTATTGAGAAACAAATAGCAATGAGACATTTTCAAAACTGATTAGTAGGACAGTTTCAATAATTAATACACTGCATATTATTGTCTTTGTAGTGGTTATTCATAGTACAAGATGCAGACATGATATCCTGTCCAAACACAATTAATACAAATCTTTCTGCTCATTGAATTAAGAGAAAGTAGCTGTATATCTATCCTAACTATTTTGTATATAGAGATACAAAATGGTCCTTCATTTATATCCCCTTTTTTTGTTTAGTTTTGTTACAGATGGGTATTCCATTGCTATTTAAATATTATAGGTGGGTGAATTCAGCAAAATAATCCAATATAGTCCACTAGCCCATAACAGCAGTGGGTTATCTGTAGGACTGGCAAGGTCAGAAGTTGTTGACTTGAGCCTTTTACAGCTCAGCATATTGATATGGCTTTATTTTTTTTCCATAATTTTATTGACCATTTAAACATTTTATGATGAATAAAAATCAGAAGACTTTCAAAGTTATATATTTTTAAAGAATAAGGTCAGTCTGATAGCTCAGGGGACTAAAGCACCTGCTTAGGCAGAGCGCAGCTGCCGGGGTTCAAACCCTTGTATGCCATGCCAGTCCCACACCCCGAGGTGTGCTGAGACAGCGATTGAGACTGGGCATGGTGGCACATGCCTGTAATCTCAGCACTTGGTAGGCTGAAAACAGGTGGATCACTAAGAGTCTCATCTACATAGTGAGATCCTGTAGACCCTGACCTGAAACACACACGCACATACACACACACACACACACACACACAGAGTAAAAAAAAATCATCAAATGGCATAATAAATTCAATTTAGTATGCTTTAGCTGTGATGAGTTTATTGTGAAAGCTTGTGTTGCTGTGAAGCAGGCATAAATTTATACCCTTGACCAAAGTTTGTTTTTGAATTAAAAGTAGCATGTATAAAGTGTGTTCCTTAGTATTCAAAGACTGTTTCTGACAATGCCACAGGTGCTTGTCAGAGTGGTGAAAGTGTTAATGCTTCATCACGCTTGCCCCCATCAGTGACATCCCATTGTGCTTCTGTGATACACTTAGGCACCGTTCCTAATGGCAAAGTCTATTAGAATGCACAGCATCTTCCCCAGGGAAGTGCGAGGGGACCTGTCACTCGAGATATTTAAAACTGCACTGGATGAAGCACTGGAGAGCCATGAGCGCCTGAGCTCCAACCCTCAGGACAGAACACATGACCTAATGGGTGCTTTCCACTCCTTAATACCTTTGATTTGCTGGGTGGATGTTTAATAGCTACCTCATTTTTAAGTAGATGAGCAACAGCCTATTTTTTTAAATGGAAATTTAGTTTGGTCTATAAAGTGTCAAGGCGGAGGTGACAAGACAAACCACAAGGGACTGGAGGAAGCCTCTGGAAATTTAATTGTTTGGAGGAGCGTTGAGCAAACACAACAGTGTATTAGTGTTTAGCAAATGTCTAAACTTTTTCAGAATTTTCAGTTCAAGGAAACCCAAAACACATTTGGCTAAACACTTTTTCCTTAATTTTCAAACCCATGTGTATTTCAAGGGAAATTTAATCCATGTGTTTCTGATTCATTTACACTTAGCTCATCAAAATGTGGTTTCGTAAGACTCATTTGATGTCTAAGAAGCCTGGTGAGATTTTCATAGTTTTTTTTTTTTTTTTTTTTTTTTTCTTTCAACCAGGAAGTTGCATTTTGCTAAGTGTCAATGGAACTTCAGCCTCAAAAGGAATCAGTTGGCTTGGCCCTTGATTTCGTGGATGTTAATGGGAACTAATGAGTGGGAGAAGATGGGGATCCTGGTGTAGACCATGTCAGTGTTTCCATTTCTAACATGTAATCAATTTGAATGACTTGAAAAATCTCTCTTTTTTTCTGAGTCTGTAGTAGAAAATCTATCTTAAATTCTTGAAAATCTTGTAGAATTCACAAGGATAAATGGTATTAAAGGAAACAATATTGTCTTGTGATCTGTTCATTGTGCTCTGAAAAAAATCTATAATGAGGGTAGCAATGGAATATTTCATTCAGAGGTAGTTAAGAAGAATAATTCAAAGGGTGTTTAGATTGGCCATTTCTCTATAGTAAAAGAAAATAAAAGCTCTCTGCCTAGTTTTTGCTGCTCCGCACTGCTTGATTTCTTCACACAGAAATAAGACAAAAACCCTCAGTGCATGTGCTGATTCAGGTGCACACAATCCCCTATCTCATTGCTGGTGTTCCGAAAGAGCATCTGGGGTAGAGAGATGCGCATCCGGTCCTTCCATCATGGGAAAGCCAACAGGGTTTGCACCTGCAGGATGGCTTGCATCTTCAGTGAGTGTGGGAAGCGACATAATGAGACAGCTGAGTGGCTGACAGACACATAGCTTTCCTCTTTCTCCTGCTGTACCTTCACTCTGCGTACCTTCCCTCTCCCCACTCCTTCCTCACCAGTCTCCCACCTTTCTACAGTCACCACTAGTTTATGGAGCAAGTGTGGCACACTCATCCAAGGATGGGGTGACACGGATTACACATTGCTTTCATTTGGTGGTTCTTGGGATGAATTCTTCGTTGAGAACAAGATAATGAAAACCATACGGCCATTGAACACAAAAATCTGCCATCACTTTGCCTACTCCCGCCCAGCCATTTCACTTCATAGAGGCTAGTCTCTAAGTTTACTTCGGGGGAAGATCCCAGCCAGGTGGAATCCTGCCCCCTACGGGCTTGCATAATGCAACAAACACTGACATTTAGACCTTGCCTGTCACCAGCACATCAGAGAACTTCTGTGACTGTGACATGGCTTGCTAGGCTGGTATAGCTTTAGTATCTGGACCTTTTAAGTATTTGTCTGAGTTCTGCCCTGGGACTTTCGATGTGGAGCTAAAAGCAGAAAAACCAGAATAGGTAACAACTGAGAATTAAAAGAAAATCTGAAACTCTTATTACCCTGAAATTTTGAACCACTGCCTACAGGAAATGAGTACTTATTTTATGGTGGTAAAACTGAGCTGTACTTTAGTTCTGGGCTGAATTTTGACAGTATAAGGCAGAATTATAAATTTTTTAACTATGGCAGTGATTTTAGACTATAGGTGTGAGGATAAATAATTATTCATTGATTTAAAATCTCACACCAGTGAGGAAAAATGCTCAAAGCAAATAAAAAAATGAAGTGCCAGGAATTTGAACAAAAATTTATTTTCACTCTATAATTTGTCACTTGTTTTATACAGATACCAATGAGGCAACACAGAAATACTAAATTCATCTCAGAAGGCACAAAGGTAAATGCGCACATTGTAGTTCAAATTTTTTTAAATTTTACAATTCTCCAGAAGACTCTTCTGCCCTGACAACTCTCATGAAGAGCCAATTTATTTTTATCTGTTTCATTTCATCTTCTTTTTTTAAAGAAATGTGGTTAAGAATGAGAACAGCAGTCTGTGGACAATCTAGGACTCTCATATATCACCCTAATGCTGGAGAAAAGAGTGTCAAGTTCTTTTGCAGACCACATGTAAGTTTGGCTCTTTAACTATCAGAAATATTTTTCATTATTTATCAAGTAAAACAAATTGCATCATAGAAGACTATTGTGTGATGCCCTTATAAATACAATGTATAAAGCAATTGATTTAAAAAGAAAACATGCACTGTTACTGTATTTTTTGTCATTAAGAGATGTAAAATAATTTAGGATAATAGTGCCAAACTCCTAATTATGTTTGTGAAGAAAAAGGGCAGAGAGTTTAAAAGACTTGAGTAAAAGTTTTCATGCTGGCTTGTGTTATGTTCCTTGAGCTAAGCTCTGAATGTTAGGATGGTGATACTTTAATAATCAGTAACATTTCTAAGATTAATACATTCCTAGAATAGGGTACATCAGAGTACCGAGACTCTGAAAAGTTCTTAGTCTGTGGAAATTCCAATGCACTGGACTCACAGAGGTGGAGTTGGGAGTCCCAACTCAAAAATCTCGTGTTTATCTCTCTTATGCCCACCTTTAGGGAGACATCTTAGGTATTCTCAAAGAACACCAAACGTTCATTAGAAAATTGTCTTAGAACTGCTGGTTTCATCCCTTATGATTGTGGGTAGACCCCAAAATGACTTTTAATGACCCTACATGGTTTACCTGGATGGCTTATACTATGAAAATTTATTCTTCCTGCAGTTTAGAGGTTAGAAGTCTGAGATTGAGGTTCACACAAGTTTTGTTTCTTCTGGAGCCCTTGCTCGGCCTGTTGACAGCTATTTCCCTTCCATGCCTTCCACGGTTTTCTCTGTGCTTGTCTATCTGATCACCTCGTTTTACAGGGTACTAGTCGCACTGGATAAGGTTCCAATCTAGTGACTTTAGTTTCATTTAAATATTTATTTATTTAATTTTTTTGGCAGAACTGGTGATTGAACTCAGGCCCTTGCGCATGCCAGGGAAGCGCTTACTCCACTGAGCCATTTCCCCAGCCCCTTAAATACTTTTTTAAAGCCCTTATCTTTTACTCCAATTAGGCTATTATAACAAAATACCTTAGATTGGTTAATTTATACTAACAAAAATTTATTGTTCACTATTTAAAAGGCTGCAAAGCCCAATATTAAAGCTCTATCAGATTCAGAGTCTGTTGAGAGCTCCCTCCGTCCTTTAAAGACTCTGTCCTTTTGCTCTGTCCTCACATGAAAGAAAAGCAAGTAGCTCTCCTGGATCTCTTCATGAAGGGAATTTATCTCCTTTAAGAGTGCAAAGCCCTCAAAACGCACTCAGTTCCCCAAAGCTCCACTTTCTCACATTGTCACCTAGATGGTTAAGCTTCCACGTACATATTTGGGGGCACACAAATATTCATATCAAAATATGTCATTGCGGTGGATTGGGAGCTGCACAACTTAACCTGTAATATTCACCTTCCTTATTCATACTTTAGTATAATTCCCTTTCCTTAGGTGTAGATGGTAAATTCGACTTGCTTCTAACCTACAGAAAATGGCAACGGTAAGATTTTTTCCTGTGATACATCATGTGAACAAATTTTTCAGAAGATCATCTCTGGAGATTTTTCTCCCCTGTTGACTGTGCAATAGTTAAGAAGCAGCATATCAAGGAGCTGAGGTAAGCTGGCATGGCCAGGGCCTTTCTGCAGTAAGCAACAAGAAGCTCTCTATCTCTCTTAGATTTACAGCTACAAGAAATGACTCCTACCGACAACCTGAGTTAATTTGGAGGCAGAGTCCTCCCCATTCAAGCTGCCAGATGAGAATTCCAGCCCTGCCTAACACCTTGACTGGAGCCCGAAGAACTCAATTGTGCCTCATCTCCTGATCTATAGAAAGCATAAGGTAGTAAAAATGTGTGGTTGTAAGCTACTGATGTCATTATTGCTGTCCATATAAAAGACTAAAAATACTAGCATGGATGTATAACCAACTGTGGGTGAAGCATGAGGCATTTTGATGAATATTATGAACAAGGCCATGATAACCTTGAACAGATCATTAGCAGAAATTCACCATTATTCATATTGTAAGTGAGGGCTGAAAACAAGCTGAGAACCATGTTGTTGGAAATTGGAGGCAAAGGCATCCTTGTTAAAGAGGCAGGTGGCTTAGTGTGTCTGTCTCCTAGTCACTTATATAGAAAATAGAATTTATGAGTGGTGTATGATTGACTTGGCTGACAAACCCAATCAAGAACACATTTTTCCAGTGGATTTCCAAGAAAGTGTTGCAGGTGCCACCTACTTATTCTTCCTGATTATTGGAGGTTTTTGTTTGCTTGTTTTGTTTGTTGTGAAGAATGGCTTGGTGATTTTGAGAATTCTCACTCTCTCCACATATTAACATCAAAATAAAACAAAATAAAAAACCCTAAAAGCATTAAAAAGTAAAGAATTTTTATTAAAAATATTATCTGGAAAAATAGCCAAAAACTCTATTATCTTTTACTAAAGCATGAAAAATAATCGGAAGTTTAACTATTCATTCATAAAAGGGAGTTTTGGAGACAAGGGTGTACCTCATGGACTCTTCCAAAGCTTAAGGTTTCTACTGAATAAATTGTGCTATGTTTTAGCCATTTTATTTTTTATTTTATTTTATTTTTTTATAAATAGCATATTTTTATTGCAATACATATTTTCTTCAAGATTAATTTAAATGTTAACAAATTTTTCCATATAAAGAATAAATCAATTTGGATTTAACATATTAACTTGAGAAAACATAATATCAAATTTACTAGGTTCATTAAGCATAGGGAATTAAATTTCAGAAATCCATATTTCTAGTAATAGATTTGAACAATAATATTTATATATCCTTATTTATCATATACTGACATTAGAGACCAGCATATAACAACTCATTTAAAATAGTTTTACTCACAGATTTATCAAATGATTAGATTCTAAAATTTAAAATATAAACAAAACAGGTGCACCACTTAGTATAAATCCTCTATACCTTTAACCTTACAGAATTCTCAAACTATCACTGATTTATCTATTCCCATTCCTGATTCATTAGCCATGTCTTGATTGGTTCAATGGCTTACCACAAAGCCACAAATATTTGCACAATATTGTATTTTCTTATTAGAACGCAGTATTTTGGAGAGTTTTTCTTCAAAAGTCTAGGTTTTGTAAAAGGTGATTAATGCACATATTATTGTTCTTTATGTTATAATTTCTTTTTTTTTTCTTTTCAAAGTTTTATTGATAAACATATAGCAATGAGA